GTCAAAACTGAGGAAGAAAAATCATCTGCTGTAAATATTCTCCTATAGCATTTTTTTTCTCAATCAGGAAGTTAAATTGAGTTCTTTTTGCTGTGTAAGGTTAGTTATTGTTTAAAGAAAGTCTCCAGAAACCTAAAGCAGTTGGAAAATGAAAAGGCATAAAGCCCACAGAGGTTAATTTCACTTGAATTTCCTTGAGATAAATCACAACTTTCACTAATTGATGCCATTGTGGAATATATTTAAAGAAAGAGAAAAGAAAATAATAAAGCCTTTGCAACAAAAAAGATGAAGATTTCACAAAAATATTTTTGTTTCATTAATGACTTCCTGAGCAAAGAAGGACAGAAATAGGATGCAGGAAAAGGCTGACATTGGTATTTGTAATGTATGCGAGTATCTGTACCTAAAGAACCCCCAAAGACTCTTTCTCTCAAAAAGCATAGTCCATTTACATGAATTCTAATATTCTCTTACCATCAGCCCATTAGGACTGGTAAATTCAACAATTTGCAATAAATTTAGGTACACTAAGCCTGCACAGGGTGTAAATACATGCACATCTTCACAGTAAATGGTAGCTCGTGGTAAAATGGTAAAGACTGGTAGAATTTACGTATCTAAATCCTTGGAGCTCTTGGAAAAGCAAGACCCCACAAGAAGGAGAACAAGGCTATGGTGGGGAACTGCCACTAGGGTTTGGGTATTGTTAGTGAATGATAGATGAAATCAGGATGTCACCCTGAGCTGTGTTTTATGTAAAGACCGATGTAAAATCAGGCATGTATCGCTGTCCAGAGCTCTGTGCAGCTGAGCTGTTTTTTTTCCTCAGCTAACAGTGTATCAGGTGTACCATAGTGTGTCTTCAGGTCTCAAGTTCTGCTAAAAAGGAAAGCTGTGCAGAATATATGATAATTAAATGAAATTATCTTTTTTTCTTTTTTGTCTTAGAGCTCATGAATATATTTTTGGTTTTAGGAATTAGAAAACAAACTATTTCTAGCTTTGCATCTTGTCCCAGAGTTAGACATTGCTTTTGCTTATTACAGAGGGAGAGAAAATGCAAGGGAACTTATCAGGCTGGTAATGATCATAGAATATCCACTCAAATATAATACAAATTTGTGTCTGTAAAAAATGCCTCTAGGTATTTATGCATATATTTTGTCAAAAGCAATTATTACATCAGTCATGCTGCAATATTATCCCTAATCTTGATCCACTGACTTACAGTGACAACTAGTTATCACTTTGGAAAAAGACCAGCTCCCATGTTTCAGTGCATTAGGACACTAATTTGCCTATGTCAAAATAGTGTGAGAATGTCAACTTGCAGTTGGCAAAGTGATGTGAGAGTTAACAAGACATTATTTTTAATCTGTGAGCTGTTCCTACCTTTCAGTAATGGACTCTAGCAATTCTGCCCTTTCAGTTTGTGACTGAGTTGTCTTATCGTGGCCAAAACAATTCAGACTTCATTTGTAGACTGTTATTATCTACCTTGCATCCTAAGTTTGCAAATAATGTTTAAAACTGAAAACTAGCTAAAGTGTGATCCATGGACTGCAAACCCACCATTTGAGTGTATACAGAGCAAGTAATGGCTTGCAATAGCAATCTTCTCTCCATCTTTTCAGTATCTCAGTGTGCCCTAGGCCTTATTCTTTTCAACTACCTCGTAGAAGTGAACAGGCTTCCTGAGACCCTCTAGTTAATAAATTAAATCTGTATGAAACCATGCTGGCAACAAAAGACATACATAGGACATATACTCTCATATGAATGAATCATCACTTAAAATTAGGAAAAATTATTTCCAGCATTAACACTGCTCATGATAACCTATTTTGGCAGCAAAAAAAAAATCACAAGATATATATTTTAAAACAGTGCACAGCTCTGTCTCATATAGATTATCTTCTCCCACCCTAGTACTTGACTGCCTTCCAGAAGCACATTAAGCAACATGACTAATGTCTGTCTCATCTTCATTCTTTTACTTGAAGGTGAAAAATTACATTATTTTTCAAAAACTACCTGCAAGTTGATGAAATATCATCTTTGCAATGAACATAAAATGTTTACATTACTGTGAAGACCATGGCAAAATTCGACCTTTGCAGAAGCACATACAGCTTCTACTGATGTAAGTGAACAAGTGCTCATTTATGCCAGGACACAGTTTCTGCAAAGCACTGCAAAGCAGACTACCTTCTTGATATGTGGGAAATTTGCACACTAAAACAGCAAGCAATCCTTTACAGCAGCATTCATTTTGCTGGATGGGAGCTGATTGAGAAATTAGCACAACATGGGAGATCTCTTTCTGTCTGGAAGTAAAAAGGTATCCAATTTTGTAGTTGCTGTTGATTTATTATTCTGATCCTGCCTGGGGTTACTGATGCAGATAGCTTTCTTAACTGTCTTTTGTGTCAAAGTGTACAAAAACTTAACACTCCAACTTTTTAATGGCATAATTTACCTTCAGCAGTAGCTCTCAAAGACTGGAGACCTGTAAGAAGACTAAAAATTAAATAACTGTGCTGCTGTTTAAAGGACATTAGTTTTCCTACAGAATTAATATGTATGGCTTCACATTCGGGACCAGCATGAAATTTAAGCTTGTAGAGTTACTGGAAATGTTTATACCACAGTATAAATAAAGATTGTGACCAGCATGGACCACATTGTGCTGGATGCTGTACAAGCGGAGAATAAATATCTACCCCTCCCGGAAAAGTTTGGTTGGCTTCCAACAAGCTGACTGTGAGACTGCTAAACAATACACCCACACAAAGAAAGAATAAGCTAATAATCTCAGACAAGTGGAGCTGTCAGCAAACTCAGTTAAGCTTTGCTGTGACTGACTTATGCAGTGGCATGATCCTTTAAAATAAAGAGTAGGATTCCCAGTATAGCTATGGATTGTGAGGAGCCAGTGTGAGTTGTTTATAGCAGCCTCCAGCATATATAGGCTATTTTCATTCAATTGCACTGGTGGGAAAGCCTGTCTCCAGCCTTAAAACAAATTTTAATTTGAGCCCCAGGTTCTCTGCCATGTTTTTGCTTTCTGGGTTGTGTGACTAGAGAATTAGATGTATTCAGCAGTGCAGTCAGTGTGCATTATTTCTAGAAGAAGAAATGCTGAATGTACAAAATAGTAATCATGGTGATTTAGATGTCAAAGACACCACTAGATCAGGGCTAGCAGTGAAAAACAGCTTTGTTTCACTTTTCTCTTAAACAGAAACCTATATGTTGTAGATATCAAATTATTACACTTGGCAAAAAAAAATTTTATTGTGAGTGTCTTTTTCCCCCTTTTTTTCCTTTTTTTTTTTTCCCTTCCTTTTCCCTACCTAAACTATTTGGCAAAAGCACATCCCTTTCCAAAAGTAATGTATTCCGTATGAAGAGCTGCAGTTTTAATGACAGTTTAGACATTGATATATTTATTAGACTATATTTTCCCTTTAATAAATGCTTTGATGTAGCAAGTACGTACTCAGTGTTCTGTGTAGACATTTCCATAATAACCCCTTTCCAGTTATCTGGGAGATCAAAGGCTGCAGCTATGCACAACTTCTGCCAGAAATAAGAGATTCTTTTCTTACTGAGTCTTTGTAGACTGGTCCACAGTGTTCGGTGGGTTCTGTTTTCCTCTGATCACAGTTGCAAATCCTCAAATTTAGTGTTGATTTTTTCTTACTTAGTCTTAATTTCTGTCCTGTCCTTAGCATTGCAGTGGTTCTACATTTTCATGTCACTGTAGCCACAGCAGGGCCCTGTGTTAAAGGAGTATTCACATGATAGCATTAGCCAAGAGTGTGAGAAGTCAGCACATCCCTGCAGTTAGCACACACAGATGTGTCTATGGGCAGTGTCCACAAATGGAGAATCTGGTATCCCAGGCTTGGTCTGTGATGGAATCTGCTTCACTGCAAATCACTTAATTGCAGCCAATACACGTTTTGCCAAGGGTATTGCCACCTCTGCCTTGCTGTCTGCGATGCCTCATTTACAAACCACAGGGCTCTTTTCCAAAGTGGTTTAAGAAGGTTGACAGCAAGCCCTGTAAAAAGATGGGATCTTCTGAAATCCAGGAGATAGTATTTCTCCTTTGGTCATCTGGGTTTAAAGAACTGTCGTGCATGTTCAGTGAATTTTTTTTGGGAAATCCTAAGTACCATATTGCAATCAAACAATCTGAACATAAGAGATGATTAAATATTTTTACTTCATCCCGTGGGCTCAGTTTCTATCTAGTAAGAATAATTTCCACAAGCCAAAATTTAGAAATTGTTTATGGTTTAGGCTTCAGCAGATAAAAGGCATGGAAGAAATTGTCTGAAATCCTTTCAAGAAAACCTTAATGCCTGCATCTCCAAAATAAACAACTAGCACAGACTGGAATTAGTAGGATGGTTGCGACATGACTGGTGAAGGGTTCTAGCACTGCTCTTCAGTAGAGTAAAAAATTATTGAAGCTACTAACATATTTTTACCATTACCTAGACATGTGACACTTTTAAGAAGGATCCTTCTCATTTCCACTCAAGTCTCTTTCAAGTTTTCTTCAAGAATATATGCAAATAAGTATTCAGATTTATTTCCAGGGTTTGCTTCTATGTTGTAAAGGCTTGATCAAAGTGGAATCTGAATTCTAAAATGATTACATTTTCAGTTAAATCATCATATTAATGATTTTACTTTTAGCTTAGAAGATTCAGTGTAATGGCTGTGGAGGGACAAGGATTGCTATGTTCAAATAGTACGCGAAGAAGTGGAACTACCCTCACTGAAGTTCTTTTTAACAGGTTTTTCTGCTCAGTGTTATAGGTTTTACATCTTTCGACCTTGATAGGGAATTCAGTTTATACTCTAGTAGTAAAGTGCTGTGGTATCAACCTATTAAGACAAATTATGAGTTAGGAATGCAATAAGGAGACCCTTCATACCTTGCTGTTATGGCCAGTAACACCTGCTTGTTTTCCCTGCAGAGTTTTTCCGAGAACTTCTGGAGAACGCGGAGCGATCCTTGAATGACATGTTTGTCCGGACGTACGGCATGCTGTACATGCAGAACTCTGAGGTGTTCCAGGACCTCTTCACGGAGCTGAAGCGCTATTACACAGGAGGCAACGTGAACCTGGAGGAAATGCTGAACGACTTCTGGGCTCGGCTGCTGGAGCGGATGTTCCAGCTTATAAACCCCCAGTACCATTTCAGTGAGGACTACCTGGAGTGTGTGAGCAAGTACACAGACCAGCTGAAGCCCTTTGGAGATGTGCCCAGGAAGCTGAAGGTTCAAGTGACTAGAGCGTTCATTGCTGCACGCACCTTTGTTCAGGGGCTGACAGTAGGCAGAGAGGTTGCGAACAGAGTATCCAAGGTAATCTGAAATCTGGAGGTTTTTTTAGCTTGAATTTGTTCTCAACCTGCCAGACAACTGAAATATGTGTGCTTTTTTTTGTTGTTTGTTTGGTTTTTTTTTTCTTTTTTTTTTTTTTGGTACAAGGAAATCTGTTTGGTTGGTTTTTATGCCTACCATCTTAAGTTCATAAATAAGGGCAACAGTTGTTTTCAGTTCCTTCTGGGGATATTAAGGCAATACTGACAGGAAAGCATTTCTCTGTGCTTAGGACACAGTGAAATACGAATATACATCAATATTATAGCATGGTAATGATTGTCATTTGTAATTCAAAACTGGCTACATATATAAAAGATGGGGATTAGATCAGAATTTAAATGTTTCAAACAAATTTATTCTGCTGTTCATTAGGAAAGCACAGCCTTCACAGCATTCATTCATCATGCAGCTAGGTGACGGGTTTTGTTAGAAATGTCTAGTCATGTTTCTGATGAGAAAATAGACAAACAGTGACACCTCTGAAGCTTGAGGCTTACCAAAGGATGGTTTGATTCACATTTATTTTAGATTTAATTATTTATCTATGCAAATATTTATGACAATTATAATCCTTGAGGGCTTTGCATAATTAAAGAAAAAACTGTGCAAAAATAACCCATCTGGGCACCACAAATGTGCCTGAATGGCTTTCTCTCATACAGTATTTCAAAATCAAGTTTATTTTTCTGAATTGGTGTTCCACCTAGATAGTTGCTCTGTGATCTCGCTATTTCACAGTCCTTGTCGTGCATTTGGACCTTGAATTCTGAACTACTCTCATGAGATCCACTCAAATACTTCTGAACAATAAGTGCCTGAGTGATTTGGATGCTTGGCCCATCCAATACTTGCCCACATTTACAAGCCTAAGCCACTCCTCTGCCTCAAGAGGACCATCTAATTTGCTTCATTTAAACCACAGTCAGAAGGTGAGATAGAGCCTATACATTGTACAGGAGACTGCAACTCAAGCACTCAGCAAGATGGGGCTTTTAAACTTCTTTTGACCTGTGTTATGTGATATTTTGCAATTGCAAGCTGAAAAGCTGTGGAGCTAGAAATGTAGTCAGGAAGGGAGAGCCTGATTTTGTGTCTAGGAGACCCCATGGGAGAAAAAGGTCATTTTGCACTTAAAATTCAGTGGATGATATATGTGATCCTTGCTTGTTAGCTAGAACCGAAGTGTCTTCCTCCAAGTGCCTTCCTGAGCTTCAGGGTTGCCTTTCTGTGATTTCTGGCACTGTCAGTTCTTGCAGTCTTTCTGAATGGTGGCAGGGTTTCGCTGTGAAACCCTGGGCTGCCTAGTCTAGCTGGGGCAGCTTTTCAGCCTCCAAATGTGTAGAATGCATACATCTACAGCCCCAGATTTTCTCTGAAGAGCGATGATGTGCCCATGGGTCAGGTTCTAAGTGAAAGCACAGAGCTCTGATGTCACTGCTGTCAGCAGGCATTAGGTCTTGCTGGATCAGACTGTAGAGAGTAAGCTATGTAATTCATGTAATAGATGCATAATTTGTGAATCCCTCACAGATTAAGGTCTGAATTGTCTGCTGAGATGTCACTTTCCCTGTGTATGTACATGACTGTACAGACTGTGCAGGTGTCTCCTCTGTCACATATCCAGGAAATGTTTTCCTCTCAGCCTCTGGGCTTTGGGTACATAAGCCCTCTGAAGAAAAGGGCTTACAACAAGATCATTAAATGATCCTATGATCCTGTAATGAGAGCTGCTAGCTCTGCAGTGATACAGTGGGTCTTTTCGTAGTGTCAGTTGAAGATGATAACAGTAGCTCAATGCTACTGTTCAGCATTCAGTGCTTCTGTTGTTTTGTTTTTTTCTTTTAACATGAATGAAACACTTGAAATCATCATTAAAAGGGTTCAGTGGGTGGTGCAAGACACAATAGTGTCTTTACAGACACATAGTGATACTCCATTAGACTACATCTAGAACACTGTGTTCAGTTTTTGGCCTTTCCTGTACAAAAAAGACATTGATAAACTGAAGCAAGTTCAATGGAGGCTGCCGTCAGGATCCGGACTGGATTACTTGTCCTTGAGCCTGTGGGAATGGGGCTTCTTCATTCTGCAGAAGAGGCTACTTCAAGGGCATGTAGCAGTTGCTCCTGGTGCCTCTAGGGAAGTCATTAAAGAAACGCAGCAAAGCTCTTCACAGTGGGGCATGGTGTGATATGATGGGCGTGAGTTGAAGCATTTCCTCTTGTCCTATCACAGAGGCCCTAATGAAAATCCCATCCCCATCTTCTTATTAATGTCCTTTAAGAGCTAGAAGGTTGCTAATAAGATCTGCCTGGAGCTTCTCTTCTCCAGGCTGAACAACCCCAAATCCCTCATGTCTTCATAGGAGAGGTGCTCCAGCCCTCTGACCATTTCTGTGGCCCTCCTCTGGACCCAGTACAACAGGTCCATGTCTTTCCTGTGATGCTGAGGATTCCAGACGTGGAATTATTAATCCCAGTGGGTGTTTTCCAAGAGCAGAGTACAGGTGACCTGTTGGTCACATTTCTTTAGGATCATTATCCTATGATCCTATTAAAAATTAATAAAATCAAAATTTTGCTTAAATGCAGAATATATCGATTGCATGACTACATTTGGTATTAAAATCTTGATGCCTGTATTCATACCCACAGCATATGCAAAACAATTTCTGCCCCTAGGGACTTTGTGTTACATGCAGCCTAGTGAGGCAGATATGAAGAGCCCCAAGTGGCACCAAATATTCAAGATTAATAATTGTTCTGTGGAAAGGCTCTGATTACTCTGAGGAAGAATAGTTTGTTGCCATATCATAACTGTGGACTTTTATGGTGGTTTATCTACTGTAGAAAATGTCAAATCCTTTTCTTTAAACATAATTTTAAAAGACTACAACCATTTTTTAGAGTTAGAACATAACTGCAGCCAAAAATGAGACAGGTAAACATCTTTTGTTGCTATTTTGAATGTCATCCAAATTTAGCACAGACTTCTTTCTCATTGTACTCTAATATTGAGAGATTCTGTGATAAGAATGCCACATCTGGATAAGTCAGTAGAAATGAATAAAGACAGAAAATGAAAGGAAGAACTGTTGCAGTTCTTCTATAAAATCCTTTGTCCATTCTCTGTTCTGGCAGGGAACAGAGGGGGATCTGCTACCTGCAACATCACAAGCTTAAAAGATTTTTTGCTTTCTATTTGTGGACCCATTATTTCACTGATCTGCCACTGACTTAGAGAAATGTTGAGCCTACACCTTAAACACCATGAGAAAGAGAGTGACTAATGAGAAAGTTGGTAACATCTCCTTTGGGCCTTTATTGTCTCATCATCTTCTGGACCATTTCTGTAGAGGGTTGGTGGGTCACACACGAAGGATTTGTTCCCTCTCTAATGTCAGGGACATATCCTTTCTAATTTTTCCTCAGAGAGGTTGTAATGTCTTAAAACATTGCAGTCAGTGTATTCCTTGCAAAGGAGCTACACTTCCTTTTTTTCAATGAGGTGAGTGTGCACTCAAGCACACTCAAAGGAGGCAACACATCGCAAACATTTTCCTCTTACAATAGGATTTTGCAGCTGAGCAATTTGCTTGTCAGTGAGATTATAATTTAGTAAGTCACACTTAGATAAATGGGGAAGGAGGGTGGTTAGGACATCTTATTTTTGTAATTTTTTTGTAATATTATATTTCAGTTGCAAGCAGACACAGTTGCTTCCATCTGCCTGAAGTTTTATTATGCTGTTTTAGTTGAACACTATTTTCATGATCTCTAAGTCTAATTACAATTTTTAATCTTCAGAGATTTTTAAATCTTTTTATTTCTCATTCTAATGCATTAAATTTCTCAGTGCCATGTTCCTATGCTGCTTAAATCTTCACTCAGTGCAGTTTTTTTCCACTGGCTTGAATGGACCAGCTTGCTAAATTATATATATATTCTAGAAAGTTGTATAGGCATATGAGCAAAAAGTAATTATTTCCTAAACTGAGAATATTAACTCGTAATTTAAATCAATTTATTAATTAATATAGAAGAATTACTAAAATATCTCAGGTTGAAAGGGCACTGTAAAGATCATTGAGTCCAACTCCCTGCTGCTTGCAGGACTAACTAGAAATAAATGATATTACTAAAAGCTTTATCCAGATGCTCCTTGAGCTCTGACAGGCTTGGTTCCATGACCTCTTTCCTGGGGAGACTGTTCCAGTTACCAGCCATCCTCTCATTGGAGAACCTTTTCCTGATGTCCAATCTGAACTTGCCCGGATGCAGGTTCAATATGTAATATTCAACATGCAACATCAGAACTGCCATTTTCAGTATGTCAAAGGTCTGTTTAGTTGATTTTACCTCAGTGGCAGTAGTTTAAAGGTCAGTATAGGAGCAGAGCTACTCAACTACTATACTTTCTTAAGCTGTAGGTAGTAGATGTTTGTGGATGTTTTGAACTACAGTTTCAGAAATAATTAGTTAAATTTTCTACTACCTTTCTTTTTTCAGTACTTTTTTAGATTCTAAAAACCTGGCTTTTCAGTTTTGATACCACTTGGTAAAAAAAAAAATAGTTCTGTCCTTCCCTGTTCCTCTGTAAAAACATAGCTTATTAACATATTATTGTTATTAAATTTACTTGTTTTCAACTATTTTCCTAGATAAAATAAATAAATAAATGAAACAAAAAAAATTAAAATTAAAAAAAAAAAAACAAGCCTTCCTGACAAACAGTGATTTCATATCTAATGTTAAGCTGGAGAAGCTGCTGAAAATATTTCTGTAGTTGTTCTTAGCTGTGATTACCAATAATGTGATAGAAAAGACATATGCATACTTTTCATGTTCATTTTTTCTTTGAGTTCTGGACGCTTTGTGAGAAAATAATGCTAAGTTATTCTCTCTGAGTCCAAACAAAGCATTCTCAGTTATGGCAATAATCCCTTTGAACTGTCACCAAGTGGTGGAGGGTGTAAGCAG